CGGTTCTGTCGATTTCGACACGCCGTCTCACCTGAAACCTGGTGGTACAAATCTTGGGCTTCCAGGGGGTTGTTCTACTACCCACCAGGTACCTCTGAGCCGAAGGGCTCGATTTGTACCACCAATGTTTATGAGAAATCGCAAGGTTAAGTGCGGCCTTCGACTTTTTGTCGAAATTCGATGATTCAAAGCAGGTATCACCTGAACCCTGGTGGTACTAATCCTGGCACTTCCAGGGGGTTGTTCTACTACCCACCAGGTACCTATGAGCCGAACGCTGAGCCGACTATATCACTTTTACTGTTTCTGCCGAAGAGGTCGTAAGGCATGTGTCCTATGCAGACGCGGCTCTGGTGGATAGCTCTAGTTTTTGGCCCCTGACTTAGAGGGTTATCAATTTCTTTTGCAAAGTGACTGGGTGTGGAGAATAAACTAACTGGGTTGTATGTTTTTTTTTTTTTTTGCATGTCGCACGGAGTTATTCGTGCGTACTCAGAACCACCCTCCTTTGCTTAATTTTTTTTTGCAATGTATCTACGTTTACGTATTTTTCTGTTTTGTTTCCGTTTCTCGCTTTTCTCTAATTTTTTAATGTGCGCTGTGCACCGTGTTGGACATCATGCATCCATTAACTTACCAAACAGCCAAACCGAACCGCAAACGCCGCTTACGAAGCACAAAGCAGTGCAATTGAGAAAAAAATTAAATCGAAGATAGAAGGTAAGTTTGTAAACAATATGTTTATTTGCGTCATACGTCAACCATGAACCGTACAGCTCAGTTCACCCCACGGTTTCATTATTGTTATTGGTTTCTTTATTCTTTGGTTAGAATAGAGAATATTAATCAACAAACATTTATTTTACAGGTATAAAGAGATCCTTGGCTCTTGGCTTGCGGGGAATGAAGCAGAAGCAAAGCAAAAGGGTACGTATGTATTACATAAGCTCTCTTTCTTATTTCAATAAAACATAAGATAATTCACAAATTTAATGCAGTCCTTTCCACGTATACATAGTCGTACAGGTGTGGTGACTTACGGACCTACAAATACCTCCTAATCTTACTTTTTATCAGTGTCAATAGCGCGGCGTGGCCTTCGCTGTTGAGGTGGACCAGGTCTGGCCGCCCGTCTTGCTTCTTTCTGTTAAGAAAAAAAAAAACAATTTTTGAACTCAGGGAAAGAGCTATATTGCAATTAAAACGTCAGTTATTTTTTTATGCAAATTGATGAACAAATGTCGAGATGTCTGTTATCGAAAGGTTGATTGCTAATAACTTTATTTTTCATTTAGAAGACATCTGAAGAAAAGCTTTTTCTTTTCACAGGCCTTCTTTTTTTGCGCTCTTCTATGTCAGGTCCAAACCTCACTAATTCCTTTACTTTTGCGTACCACCCTACCACTTCACGCCTCTTGAAGGCGCTGATTTTCCGGGCACCGCGCATGCCGTAGACGTAATGGGGAGACCGGAAAAGCGAATAATAAGCCACATGCCATGCAGATAGACATGGCGTGAAAATAAAGAGAACGGAAATCACCAAGCAAATAGCGTTCAAAGTGAATAAAAGGAAACCTTACGCCAGTTGCATGCAGAATTTTGAAGAGCATGGCAGCCCGCTAGTCGGTAGACGTGCTGGGGAGACCTGAAAAGCAGATTTTAAGCCACATGCCACGCGGAGAAGCATAGCGGTAAAAAAAATTAGAAAGGTAACTCTGCAGCACAAAAGCGCCACAAGTGCAGCAAGGCAAGCGTTATGACAGTCGCGTTTTAGCAAAGTAGGAGAAATGTACAGCACACAGGCAAGCACGACAGCACATGCGACGTTCGTCTGACCTGTCCCCTCCCCAGGCGGAGGCCACGAGGAGGCTTCGTACGACTAGTGCTACCTAATCCAGTCTCAGTCGCCTACGCAAACTTTATGTAATTAGGTAAGTTTTACTAAAATATTTACATCATTCTATATAGTGTTTGGTCCGAAAGTACAGCCTGGCACTGTTAAAAATCATTGTAAACCGTAGTTTACAGCAGAAAATTTAACAGTACACCAAAACCGTTGATGCAAAATTGAAGTACTCAACAATTCACGTAGTAAAAGGAGTTCTTGTTTCAATTGCATTTTGTACTAAAAGTGACACAAGAATAATGTTTTCTTGACGCAAGATGAAATGAAGAAAAATCATCTTGTGTCAAGGACAAATTAATCTTGTGTCACTTATAGTACAAAATGTACTTGAAACAAGAAATCATATTTCTGGGTGTTCTATGAACAACTGTAACTGATTGACTTGGTGTTCAAAGTAAAATTGAATGCTTAGTTGTGTTCATTTTTGAGGTTGCCCCTGCAGTTATGGACACCTTGAAGCGTTCAGATTTACTGACAAACACACTCACGTATAGGGTATCCCTCTAGAGCGCGGAGCGGAAGTAAGAAGAACAAAAGCGGATACAGAGAGTGGTGGTGGGGTCGGGCGCGCGGGGGAGCGGCGCACAGTGGGCTCAAACCACGAAAAAGCGGCCAAAATTAATATAAGCGGAAACCAATAACTTAAATAAACTCCACCTTCGTTCTAAGGGGTTTTCGTGTGCGCTGAATCTATTTCTGCAATGAGTTTTGACGTGGCAGGGGCGGAACCAGGCCAAAAAA